CTCTCGTCGTTCCATGGCGGACTCTATGTGAAGGGCAACCTGAAGCATCGCTCTGCGGAGAACCGTGGTTGTCCAAGAGTGGAGTGCGGTGGGGTGGAGGAGACGATGGACCATTTCTTGCTTCAGTGCCCCTTCAATATAGAAGTCTACAAGCGGGTGGGTGGGGGGCTCTGGGGATCCCTTTCCTTTCCCGCTTGAGTTACGCGGAGTGGTCTTACGGAGCCTTTCATACTCACCGGGACTTTGATTTTGGGACACTTTTTCTAGTTAGCTCAGTAGTCCGTTACTACACGTGAAATGCACGGTGTCAGGTTTCCATTCGCAAAAAAGTCCTTCCTGTCGAGGTGGTGATGAACAACATTCTGGGTGAGGTTGGGAAGATTCGGGGTCTTGAGAAGGACAGTGTGGCGGCCGGGGGCCTGGACAAAGGTGTGGAGGAATGTCAGGTCCCCGTAGCTGCTGTCAGTCTCTGGGGGCGTGGCTTCTCTTTCTGTCCTTTCACGTCCCCTAGATTTTTGTAACATCAGATTTTTGAAGAAAGGCTGCATGCATGGGATCAATGTTTCATCATTTCTCTCAGCCTGAGGGGGGGTTTAGGTGACGGTCAGGATTTGTTATTATTTTGCTGAAGTAAGCTGGTTTCATTTAATTATATATATTTTTATTATGTTATTTGTTTGCAAGATTTTAATAAACAAAAAATTTACACTCTAATGTCCCCTCCCCCACAGTCACACACTATTATTATTATTATTATACATTTATATTGCTCTGACATATCGCAGCGCTGTTATAGAATACTGAACCAGTCATATCAGTTTCTGAACCATAGGAGGTTACACACTCTAATGTCCCCTCCCCCACAGTCACATATTTAGTATTCTGCTCCGTGTCCTTGCTAAAAAATATCCCAATCCATGTAAATTAATTGGTTTACGTGAAAGTTATAGAGTTTACAACGGATACTGAGATTTGTTTTTTTCATCTTTAACCACCTCCCGCCCGCCATATAGTCCAATGATGGACGCAAGGTGGTTCTCTCGTTCTCATAGGATGTCATATGATGTCCTTCCATTCTCACCGCGCATGCTCAGGGAGCGCGCAGCGCGGCGATCGGCGGTGCGCTGTGTCCCTCGGGCACAGCGGATCACCGATCCACGGAAAGGGCCGAAGATGTCGGCTCAGTCATGTGATCAAGGGAAATAAGTGGTAAATCCACCTGCGCTGCTGCGTTTACAATATATAATATAGAGACAGCTGCCAACATCCAATCCTCACCTTTTAGATGGACATATATATATACAAATAATCAATATTGATGCAGCGCTGTGACAAATAAGTATCAAATCAAATATGATTAACAATAAAGTGGGTTTTCAACCGTGAGAAAATAGTGAATTCTGTGTCAAACAGCCCGCACAATCTCGGCACACAGTGATTCCCTCTATAACATATAAATTGCTATTTATAGATGGTGCAGGCAAAAAAATACAGTCCACAGTAAGTATAGATGTATAAACACGTTTTTAGAGGACACACATGCTCCTGTGCTCGTGCAAAGTGGTAGGTGACAATCCTTGTATGGCTAGCATGCCCGCTCACCTTCCCCCTGCGACCCACAGGGGCCAAATAGCCTTACGGGTCACACCTTGACCCTATGCGTTTTCTCCAGGTGCAAGACACTCTTTACTCTCCAATGCTCTCTCCTTCACCATCTGCTATTCCCCCTGAATAGGTACCGCTGTGCATGTACTCAAAAATTCATGAGATGGTGGCAATCATGAAACAAAAACACAAAGATCCTCCATAGTGCAAAACTGTATAACACGTTTATTCTGTTTAAACCGCCAAGTTGCAACTCACATTTCAGCAGACAAAATTTCACTTGTGACACCTCTCATGGGTGTACTGAGGCACTCTGGTGTAGCAAAATGGCGCCAACCCGGAAGTGCGTCACCACGTCACTACGTCGTCACATCGACGCGTTACGCCACGCCCCTCGTAGCTTCGTCAGGATAGTGTCATGGTCATTTCCCCTGGTATTTATAACGGGATTTTGTTGTCCATTGGTTGGTAATTATGTCAGTCATCGCGGCCATTTTTGTTGAGGTCGCGATATTGTGGGACATTGTACCGCAGCCATTTTTTCATAGTCACCCATTTCTATGCTATTATTACCACCTCTATTTACTTGATCCACTGCCGCAATACAATGTAACTGGTAAATAAAAATAACCACTAGGATATTATTAATTATATATTCATACCAGTGAACTGTCCATATTACGGGCATATATAACCTATACCAATATCTCTATTAATAATAGTTTTACTCCATCTGCTCTTTAACTTAGTATGTGATGCTGCTATTCCTTGATGATAGACCAAATGTATATGTCATAAAAGATTTTTTTTTTAAAAAAAATATGTAATATAATTAAAAAATGCATGAAGTGACAATTTTATTAATATAAAATATATAAAAAAATAGAATTGTGTCTCTAAATTAAAACCGCATTAAACGCATGGCGGTAAAGTCAGAGAAAAACCGAGTTACCAGATTGACACAGTATGCCCATGAGGGTGTACTTATCTACATATATCAATACAAAGTAAAACAATTAAAAATCACTAATGAAGCAGTTGAGATCAAATTCAACATTTAACCCTTTGGGGGCTTGGGTTTGTAAAACATATATCCACTTTGACTCCATTTTACTCAATGTGCGGATCTTATGGCTCCCACGCCAATGTTTTTTGTATCTTTCTATGCCCCAAAATTGTAATTCTGTTGGATCTTTATTGTGGCATTTTGCAAAGTGTTTGGATACACTGTGTTTAGGGAAGCCCTTTCTTATGTTCTGAACATGTTCCCTTATCCGCTTCCAAAGAGGTCTTTTGGTGCGTCCAATGTACTGAAATCCACATTTGCACTGTAACCCGTATACAACCCCTTCCGTTCTACATGTTATGAAGTCTTTAATTTTGAATTCTTCTCCACTGGTCATTGATTTAAAAGTAGACCTCTTCTTATTCAGCCCTTTTACAGCTTTACATGCATAACATTTTTTGCAAGGAAAAAAATCCATTTACATCTAGAAACGTAACCCTTTTATTTTTGGAAGGTGGATTTGCTATATTTTTCACTACTTTGTCTCCTGCATTTGGTGCCTTTCTATATATGAACCTTGGTTGCTGTGATATTATTTTATTTAATGTATGATCCGTTTTAAAATAGGCCAATGCCTTCAAAAAATTTGCTCCACTTTCCTATATTGACTATTAAAATCCAAGATCAACATGGGTTCATCTATAAAGTTCCGGTCCTTAACTCTATCCTTCAAAAGTATCTGCCTATCCATATTAGACACCTCCCTACTTTGGGCTTTAATTCGTTCCTCTTTGTACCCTTTCAATGTGAATCTTTTTTCCATGATTTTATAACCTGTTGTTGGTAGTCTTCTTTTATGTATGCAGTTACGTCTCAACCTAATAAACTGACCCTTAGGAATATTCAAAAAGCCAGGGTGGGTAATGACAACTGTCCAAAGGTAATGTATCCATTACGGTCCACTTCTTTATAAAAGTTCCGTGTATATACACATTTAATTCCTTGATTGAAATTTCCAAATCCAAATATTGGATATTTTCTACATTATGGACCCACGTAAATCTAATGTTTTTATTATTATTATTGAGTGTGTACCTAAAAATGTCAATAAATCAGGTTCAATTCCTTCCCAATGATCATAAAAAATATCGTACTATATATCTTTTATAGACTATCAGTTGTGTAGGGAGTTGTCGCGGTTTTAATTTAGAGACACAATTCTATTTTTTTATATATTTTATATTAATAAAATTGTCTCACTTCATGCATTTTTTTAATTATATTACATATTTTTTAAAAAAAAAAAAATCTTTTATGACATATACATTTGGTCTATCATCAAGGAATAGCAGCATCACATACATAAAGTTAAAGAGCAGATGGAGTAAAACTATTATTAATAGAGATATTGGTATAGGTTATATATATGCCCGTAATATGGACAGTTCACTGGTATGAATTATAATTAATAATATCCTAGTGGTTATTTTATTTACCAGTTACATTGTATTGCGGCAGTGGATCAAGTAAATAGAGGTGGTTAATAATAAGCATAGAAATGGGTGACTATGAAAAAATGGCTGCGGTACAATGTCCCACAATATCGCGACCTCAACAAAATGGCCGCGATGACTGACATAATTACCAACCAATGGACAACAAGATCCCGTTATAAATACCAGGGGAAATGACCATGACACTATCCTGACGAAGCTACGAGGGGCGTGGCGTAACGCGTCGATGTGACGTAGTGACGTGGTGACGCACTTCCGGGTTTGGCGCCATTTTGCTACACCAGAGTGCCTCAGTACACCCATGAGAGGTGTCACAAGTGAAATTTCGTCTGCTGAAATGTGAGTTGCAACTTGGCGGTTTTAAACAGAATAAACGTGTTATACAGTTTTGCACTATGGAGGATCTTTGTGTTTTTGTTTCATGATTGCCACCATCTCATGAATTTTTGAGTACATGCACAGCGGTACCTATTCAGGGGGAATAGCAGATGGTGAAGGAGAGAGCATTGGAGAGTAAAGAGTGTCTTGCACCTGGAGAAAACGCATAGGGTCAAGGTGTGTGACCCGTAAGGCTATTTGGCCCCTGTGGGTCGCAGGGGGAAGGTGAGCGGGGGGCATGCTAGCCATACAAGGATTGTCACCTACCACTTTGCACGAGCACAGGAGCATGTGTGTCCTCTAAAAACGTGTTTATACATCTATACTTACTGTGGACTGTATTTTTTTTGCCTGCACCATCTATAAATAGCAATTTATATGTTATAGAGGGAATCACTGTGTGCCGAGATTGTGCGGGCTGTTTGACACAGAATTCACTATTTTCTCACGGTTGAAAACCCACTTTATTGTTAATCATATTTGATTTGATACTTATTTGTCACAGCACTGCATCAATATTGATTTTCAGTCATGTGATCAGCTGTGTCCAATCACAGCTGATCACATGTAAATAGGGAAATTCTGGTTATCGGCATTTCTCTCCTCTCGAGCTGTCACGCTGACAGAGGAGAGGAGAGCCGGTAATCGGCATTCCGCTGAGGAGACGTGTACACTGATCATCAGAGCACTGATGATCAGTGTGCCCTGATGATCAGTGTGGCCCCAGAAGTGCCACCTGCCAGTGCCCATCAGTGCCACATCAATGCCACATATCAGTGCCTACCCGTGCACATCAGTGCCCATCTGAGCTGCCTTTCAGTGTCACCTATCAGTGCCAGTCAGTGCCGCCTATCAGTGCCCATCAGTGCCACCTATCAGTGCACATCAGTGCCACCTAACAGTGCCAGTCAGTGCTGCCTATCAGTGCCATATATCAGTGCTGCCTTTCAGTGCCCATCAGTGATGCCTGTCAATGCCCATCAGTGCCACCTACCAGTGCCTCCTCATCAGTGCCCATCAGTGCCACCTATCAGTGTCCATCAGTGCATCTTATCAGTGGCCATCACTACAGCCTCATAAGCGCACATCAGTGAAGGAGAAAAATTGCTTATTTACAAAATTTTATAACAAAAACTAAGAAAAAACTTTTTTTTTTTTCAAGGGGCAGGAAGGGGTTAACATGAGGGGCAATCAAAGAGCTAACTATGTGCAGGGCGTGTTGTACTAGAGGGTGGGGTCTGTGTGCTTCACTGTAATCACACTGCTCTGGATGGCTGTGCTGTGTAGTGTGCTCGAGCTGACAGGGAGGAGGACTATTAGTAAACAAAACAGTCCTCCTCCCTATCGGTGATCGTAGGAAATCACCTGGCGCGGAGAGTACTTACCGGGCGAGGCCCAATGATTGACAGCCATAAACGGTGGCGCAGGTAGGGTGCGCACGCGCCTTGCGCTTGGCCCCTACGCGGGAATGGAAAATCAAGTGTATATATACATAATTTTGCGCACCTGTGCCGCCCTGTAGCAGTATTTCTGCTGTAGGGCGGTCGGGAAGCGGTTAATGTGCGGTTGTTATACAGCGCTTTTCATATTTTTTTTCATATTTGTCACATTTAAATGATTCAGACCATCCAACAAATGTTAATATTACACAAAGATAACCCAAGTAAATACAAAATGAAGGTTTTAAAATGAGTTCATTTATTAACCCCTTCACGCCAGCGCCTCCCGTTTCAGAAGCCAGGAGGCGGGGTTTAGGGTCATGTGACCGCCGTGACGTGCCATCATGGCGGTCACATGATCAGGAAACGTCCCGATCGAAAGAGGAGATCGGGACCTTTCCGTGAGTACTGAACATGTGTGCTGGGAGCGTGCACTCTCGGCACATATGTCCAGGGTCAGACTGACAACTTATGGGGCCCCCGGGCAGTAGGGCATCATGGGGCCCCTGTGTCCTTCCCAAACTCAAAAAAGCCTATGAAAAAAGGTACCAGGGGCATCTCATGGGGCCCCCTACTGACCCCGGGCCCTCGGGCAGGGCCCAAGTTTCCAAATGGTCAGGCCACCCCTGCATATGTCCTTTTTTAATAGAAAGCAAATGTGCGGCCGCTCGGCGTCTAGGCCCAGGCCGGCGAGAAGAGGTTAAGGGAAAAAAAAGCTGCCCAAACCTGCCTGGCCCTATGTGAAAAAGTAATCTTCCCCCCCCCCCGTTGCTAAATCATGAATGAACTGGAATTAACCACATTTTTTGGAAAGCCGAGTTAAATTTCACTTGTCACACCCAGGCCTGACTACTGCCAGACCTGTTGAATCAAGAATTCATTAAATAGGAGCTGTCTGACAAAAGTTTTCAAACGATGATATCATTTAGGGAAAAAAGCTGGTCAAACCTGCCTGGCCCAATGTGAAAAAGTAATTGCCCCCCCCCCCCCCAAACCTAATTACTGGCTGTGCCACCCTAGGTGGCAACAACTGCACTCAAGCCTTTGCGATAACTGGCAATGAGTCTCAGCACACGATGATGTCACAAAGGGGGCGGAGTCACTTGGTTGACATCGCCAGGTGATCCCGCCCCCCTTAGATATTTAAGACCTGTCAGGCCGGCACAGCTGTCAGACGGCCGAAAGCCAGCAATTTTTTTTTTCCTTTTATCGGGTCGGCGGTGGCGGCGGGCCTCATGATCAACGTAGGAACTACTACTTCGGGGGACATTTTTTAATTTTTGTAGCAGTACCAGGTACCCGCATACTCATTCACATGGAAGGGGCCCTGGGATCTGGGGGCCCCCTTGTTAAAGGGGGCTTCCAGATTTCGATAAGCCCCCTGCCCGCAGACCCCCACAACCAAGAGGCCCTTGTCTTCATCAACATGGGGACAAGGTGCTTTTAGGGGAGGGAACCCCCCTGCCCCAAAGCACACCCCCCCCCCCATGTTGAGAGCATGTGGTCTGGTTCAGGAGGCCGTATTGAATACGGCCAAAATTGTAGTATTTCAAATATATGTTTTCAATACTACAATTTTGGCCGTATTCAATATATTTCAAAATATATACCGTATTTTTCGCACCATAAGACGCACTTTTTTCCCCCCAAAAAAGGGGGGAAAATGTCAGTGCGTCTTATGGAGCGAATATGGAGCGGCCGGTCCGGTATTTCCACTGCCGCCGTGTCAGAATACCGGGCCGGCCGCTCAGCTCTACAGCGGGACCTTATGGAGATGACTGCTGACCTTTGGGGAGGGTACCTGAATTTGACAGATACCCGCTCCCACTTCCGTGGAGTTGTTCTTTCATCTTACCTGTTCCTCTATCCAGCGGCGCGGTCTTCCCGGCTTCTGTAGTGTGGGCATGACAGCCGGGTGCCAAGTGCGCATGCGCAGGAAGCGGTGCTTTTTGTGAATGGTAAGGCGGCACCTGGGACACATGACAGATCCCAGAAGCCGCCGGACCAATCACAAAGCGCAAGTGCTTCTCGCTCATGCGCACTGGGCACCCGGCTGTCATGCCGAGCGCCATTACAGAAGCCGGGAAGACAGCGCGCGGCTGGATAGAGGAACAGGTAAGATGAAAGAACAACTCCACGGAAGTGGGAGCGGGTACCTGTCAAATTCAGGTACCCGCTCCCCCCCTCCCCAAAGGTCAGCAGTCATCTCCTGTACTATCCACAGTCTCTGGTCATCCCTGTGCTGTCCGCAGTCTCTGGTCATCTCCTGTGCTGTCCGCAGTCTCTGGTCATCCCTGTACTATGTCTGCAGTCTCTGGTCATCTCCTGTACTGTGTCCGCAGTCTCTGGTCATCCCCTGTACTGTGTCCGCAGTCTTGGTCATCCCTGTACTGTGTCCGCAGTCTCTGGTCATCCCTGTACTGTGTCCGCAGTCTCTGGTCATCTCCTGTACTGTGTCCGCAGTCTCTGGTCATCTCCTGTACTATGTCCGCAGTCTCTGGTCATCTCCTGTACTGTCCGCAGTCTCTGATCATCTCCTGTACTGTCCGCAGTCTCTGGTCATCTCCTGTACTGTCCGCAGTCTCTGGTCATCTCCTGTACTGTGTCCGCAGTCTCTGGTCATATCCTGTACTGTCCGCAGTCTCTGGTCATCTCCTGTACTATGTCTGCAGTCCATTAGTTCAGAATTTTTTTTTCCTGTTTTCTGCCTCTAAAACCTAGGTGCGTCTTATGGAGCGAAAAATACGGTATATGCTTTTTTTATATATTACAAAATATATGAAAAATATTTTTAAGAATACATTTTCAAATATACTGTATGTCTCTAAAAATATATTTAATCTATATTTTTTGAACGCATTTACAAATATATGTAAAAAATATATGTTAAAATTATTTTTTTATATGTTAAAAAAATCTGAAGATATATATATTTTGTACTATATAAAAAAAGTGCATTTCAATATGCATTCAATATATTTTTTAAATATATTGGATACGGCCAAAATTGTAATATTTCAAAAATATGTCAATATAGTTGGGAAGAATATTTTTAAAAATATATTTCAAATATATTTTTCTTCCTTGTGGGGGAGGACTGGTGGTACCCTCTTATCCACAGCCCTGCTGGGAGTGCACCACAAGTATTACATCATACATTTTATGTAATACATCCTCCGCCTTCACCTGGGGGGGGGGGGGGGGGGGGGGCAGTTCGCCATCCTTGCCCTGGGCACTGGATGGCCTTGTCCCAGCACCGGTTATCTCTGATCCAGGGGTGTCCCTAGGGTTGGTGTCACCCGCTGCGATAACACTTGGGGACACCCCCTCCGACGATCCCCGCAGGATGAATCGGATCTGCGGATTGAGCATAATGGATCGGAGTCTGATCCATTATGCTCCCCAATCCGCAGATCTGATCCATCCTGCGGGGATCGTCGGCTTGCAACCTATACGGGGTGACACCGGACCCGCTCCACGAAAAAGGTAAGTTGTAAAGAAAGCCGACGATCCCCGCAGGATGGATCAGATCTGCGGATTGGGGAGCATAATGGATCAGACTCCGATCCATTATGCTCAATCCGCAGATCCCATCCATCCTGCGGGGATCGTCGGCTTTCTTTACAACTTACCTTTTCGTGGAGCGGGTCCGGTGTCACCCCGTGCGGACTGCACCACCCCGCACCCGCCTTGGGACGCCACTGTTCTGGTCATAGATCTCCTATGCAGATGGTGCAGAAAGGAGAATTTGTTCTGCAACGTCCTTATTTTTCTGTTTCAAGGGACAACTTTACTTCCAGCTGTAGAAGTTCCTTACCCTTTGATTGGACGCGGAGTTGTAAGCGAACTTTCTGGCGTTGTGGCCGAGTGTTCATGTATTTATACTGCTAATGACTTCCCATGCAGTAATGATCCGGCTTTTTCTCCGGGTCCCCTGAACTCCGTCACCCGGCATTGCAGGGACAGTACGAGGGGCTTCATTCCGGATGGACCTTTTGTCGCTGTCAATCCGGTTGGGTGTGTAATGCGGCCGTCAGAATGTCCTGTTTGTCTAGCAGCAGAGCGTTAATGGCGCCATTAACCCGGCTGGCCGTATATTACAGCCCCCAGCGGACAGGACACGGACCCCCGAGGTACTTATGGATTTAAAGTCATACCACACCTCTTTATTCATGATCGATACAATGTCACCCATATGTATCAGGGGCAGACACGCCGAACAGACACGCCAACACGCATGTTCGTCTGTTCATCCATGAGCGCGTTGCTGTACCATGTGGTCATTGCCAATGGCGTGGCAGCACATGATCGAATGCAGCTCTGATGCTCCTTTCTCTTGCAGTGTCCTGTGGGGGGCGCTCTTGTGTGCAGGGACTAGAGCACTGTGTGTGTCAGTAGCATGCCTCCTGACTTCGGGAAAGAGGGACACCTACCAGAAAAAGTATGTAGGCGTAGGACACACCCCCTGCCACGCCCTCTTAACCCCTCATCTACCGGGCACTTTCACCCCCCTTCCTGCCCAGAGCCAATTTTCAGCTTTCATCACTGTTGCACTTTGAATGACAATTGCGCGGTCATGCAACACTGTACTCACATGATATTTTTATCATTTTTTGA